ACTCAGCTTCAGTTTATTATTTAGCAAATCAGATTAAGATGAAAGAACTAAAACTACTCTAGCAAACTACAGTTAAAGTTAATCTAATTACAGGTTGGGAACTCACTTAGGTATGATTCCCCCTAGCCACTAGCCAGATTAATGATTGATGATCTCTAACCTGTTTCACTTTCATTCACAATGCGGAGAATCCTTGACTAGACCTTGAGTCTCGACTAAAAGAACAAGGCCCTCTTGAGTCAATTGCCTAGAGGGACGTATCCTTCTCTAGAACAACTGATCAAGGCGTTCTGAACTAGACTCCCTCTATCGAAGGGGGTTCTCAATCGATACAAAGCAGTGAATCAACCCTCGACTAAAGCAATCGATCCACTACTATCAATCTATGGTGCTCTATTGACCTAATAAGGTATTCCCTCTCATAGGATCAAAGCGGAATCAATAATCTCGACTAAAGCAGAATTGAATCATGAAAACATGCATAGATTGAATATGAACTCAAGATTATCAAGTCAGAGTACTCATACAATCATCCAATCAAACAAACATAGCTAGGGTTCCTCAAAACCTAAGTGAAGGGAAGTTACTCCATAGAGAAGAGAGAAACTGCAGTAAGAATCTTCAGATGATCAGTCTTCAAGTCCGGGCTTGTTCCTCAAGCTTCCAAGGCGAAGAAATCCTCCTTCTCTACTCCAAGAATGCCCTCAAATCGCCCTCTCTCTCTTTGGTTCGTCCCTTGGGTGTTTGGGATCCAAAAACCCAGCTCTCCTCCTCTTTGGTTCGGAATTTGGCTTAAAACCAGGAAATCCCGACTCACATGGGCAGGGCCACACGGCCGTGTGGCCTACCCAGTTGCCCGTGTGAGGCAAAACGCACCGTATCACTTAGTCGAATTCCAGGCTTCTCACACGGCCAGAGTGGCACGACCGTGTGTGACTTCCATCTGCCCGTGTTTGCTCTCGGCAAAACTCGCACGGCCAAGCCACTCCTTCATACGGCCGTGTGTGTTGTCAGGGCAGGCCGTGTTTGCTCTCGCACAATCTCACACGACCAGAAATATGAGTTGCACGGCCGTGTGATTTGTGGGTGTGCCCGTGTGGCCTCCTTTGTGACTTGCCTCGCGCCCGATCTTCGCCCAATCGACCCCGAGCTTGCTCCTAAACCTTCATTCACTTGCCAGGACCTGAAATATCACAAACAAGCACAACCTAGCGTGAAATCGGTCTAAAACACGAGAAACCACATCTCAAACGGTGTAAGAATAGGGGTAAAAACATGTGTAATTAACGGTCTATCATATGCTTTACGAATTTTTTAGTATGCTTCAGAATATTTGTGGTATGCTTTAATTAACTTGTGATATGCTTTGTAAGACTTGTGGCATTCTTCAAGATACTTTGTGGTGTGTTTCAAGAAACTTGTGGGATGCTTTATGAGGGTTCTGGTACCACAATTTATAAATACATAATAAGTATTTCTAAAGTAGACCACAACTATTATCAACCACACCACAACTCTTTGTTTTAAGTTTTATAAATACAAAGCACTATAATAATCAATAAGAGAGTCCGAAGACCAAAGCCAACAAAGTGTCTAGTCCCCAACCAACCATCGACGTGCTAAAAAATGCAGGGGAAGTGGAAAATAGTGTTGATAACTAGCATCATCGTTGGTGAGGGATGGAACCCAGACAACAGAGAGACAATGTGTTGCACATCTTCAAGCTCAAGGCATCAGCGGACCCTGAAGTAGCCGCTCGGGAAAGCGAAGCGACGAAGCTTTTCGGGGACGTCCGGAAGCACGACGAAAATTTTGCACCAGAGTGGTGTGAAGTCCCAACTAGTTAGCTCCAACAGTGAAGATAGGAAATTCGGCTACGGGGAAGCAACAGAGCACCGATGGAGGTTGGGAGGGATTGAGAAGCGGCATGGTTTTTGTCGAGGCTGGTCTTGAATTTTCCAAAATGACAAGCGTGTCCTTCCATGGCAAATTTGTAATTAATTTTGGTCAACTCTAAAAAACTAAAAGGTAATCAAAACAAAAATGTTTCTATTAGCTGGAGCTAGTGTTAGCACCATGTTAACAAAAAAGTTTTAGCCCCCTAACCATTCCCTTTAAAATAACTCATTAGCAAAACAAGAGATTTTAAGCAAAATACCACATCAAAATGTAAAATAATACACAAAATGCTACATTTCCATAAAATGATGTATTTCACCCTACAAATAACTCACAATTAAATAAGCCATCTAAACTACTCCATAGTGTTTGTTTATGATAAAAATCTCATAGTTTTCTCAGGGATCTAAAAAATCAGTGATTTATGATCTTTGAGGAGGATAAATTATTTTGCATAACCATATCCATTATTTATTTCTAAATTTTAATTGATCATTTATAATATTTACTATATATATCAACGACAAGGTTGTCAATACGATTTAGCTCGTTTGTCCGATCGAACAAGTGAGTTGAGGTTAAAAGTCTAATTGTTTTAGCCTCAATTAGCGCGGATATATGAAAAAGTCATTATATTGGTCATACATTTATAAATTATTTCAAATCTAACATATGAATAATAACATATAACATTACACCAAACTAACAGTTCGTAATTGGATATAACATATAGTGAAAATTGAAACACACTTATATAACTTCGATAGTCAAATGTTCAACTTAGAATCTATAAGTGGGTTACGCGAAGGAGAAAAAAAGCTACATTTCACAATCCAAAGGGAAAAACGATGTCGTGTGACCTTAAGACCTTGCTGCGGGTCGACCTGCGAGTGAGTGGCGTCCATTTTTCTCACCAGGTCAACTCACGGATTGACAATCTTGATCAATGGACATCATAGTTCAATATAGATTTCTTTCGTATTTATTTCCTATATCTACTAGAAATCAATTAATATCAATGAGTGAGTTAGAGAAATAGATCGTAACCTGATTTGGAAGATTCAACAACTATATGAAGGAATGTTGATATGATAGTAGTCCTTTTACTCGAGGTTCATACACTAACGAATACAACATTTGATCTACATAATGTATCGATCAATCATTTTATCACAAGAAAAATATTGCTACGTACTTATAATTGGATAGTTATTATTATAACATTCAAGTAATCAAAAGAGAAAAAAAAAATAATTACAAGTTAGAATGTCGATGTATAACTCCAATGTATACTCCACCGGCCAATAGGCTGGGCCCAAGCCCCTAGGCTAGTTAATTTTACGTGGCATCCCTCTTTAGCCTTCTAGTTGTATTTTGGTTTTGGGCAAGGATTAAAATACCATACCGTACCAGTGGTTCGACCTGAAAAACCTCCCACCGGAAGCAAATTCGATAGGCAATATTTAGTGGTATAATACGGTTGAATCATGGTTAAAATACGGTTTAGCATAAAATATCCTACCATTGATGACCTCAGGTACGATATTTCAATCCTTGGTTTTGGTTTTTTTTTTTTCTGGAGGAGGTTGTAGCAAGTTGAAGTGTTGAAGTAGTTTCTTCGTTAGATTGATGATAAATCGTCCCTCTTCGTATCTAGTCCGAGATAGGGATGACAACAAAACCCGAACCCACGAGTACACACCCGACCGAACCCGGTCAACGCGGGTAAAATCCGTGTTGACGGGTTTTTGGCCGGGTTTGGGTTTAAACCCGTTCACTATTCACCGGGTTGGGTTTGGGTTTAGGTAAACCCGACCCATGGGTACCCGCCCACACCCATATAATTAATTTTCTCGGTATATTTAATATTCTAAACAACTAATCTTATTTATGTTTGTGGAGACATGTCTAATTTTTTCTTTCTAATTGTGTAGAATGAAGTTGATGTTAACGAGTGGAGAGTGAAGAAACTTAATTGAAAGGAAAAAGCTTTCAATTAATCATGTTATTTATCGATAATTTGTGATTTACTTCAATTTTCTAGATTGGTGTTGAACAATTTGTATAGTTAATTTGTGATTTGCTTGAAGAATGGTGTTTTAAATATGGATAATTTGTATTGAGAGATTGATATTTGACTATAATTTTGATAGGAATTTGTTATTGTGAATTTTTTACGACAAAAACCCGTGGGTACCCATGAACCCACGGATACCCAGCTTTGGGTTGGATTGGATTTGAGTTTTTAAAACCCAATGGGTTTTACCCCGATTTTTACAGATAAACCCATGAATTTGAGTTTGGATTTGGCAAAACTCGTCCCAACCCGACCAATTGCCATCCTTCCAAATCCGACCCAACCCGACCCATCCCGACCCATTGCCATCCCTACTCCGAGACATTCAGTGCTCCAGAAACCTACTAAATCCAGTAAATTTTATTGCAGACCGGATTGGCAAAACATAATATTAATAAAAAATAAAACAAGAGGAAGAGAGAGATAGAGAGAGCAGAGGGGAAAAAAAAGAAAAAAAACACGGCTGCTGTATTCACCCAAAACCATAGGGACAAACAAACACAAGAGGGAGAGAGAGGTCTGAATGGTATTCGATTTCCAGCTATAGGCAGAGAGATCGATCGCAGCAACCCAAAAGACCCCAATTCCTCCCAAAACCTTGAGCTAGACAGCTCTCACTACCACCACCTCCCGCCCCAAAATTCTCGCCGATTTGAATTCCCTTTCCATTCCTGGTCTGGTCTTCGATCAATCTTATTCTTCTACTCTGCTTTCCTTTCCTCCAAAATTCCTTTCTCTTTCCTCATACCAACAATCACCTTTTCCACTTATTCCCCTTTTCGGCTTTGTTGATCGCTTCGATCTTCTTTCTTCCCCTTATTTTATGTTGCGGCAGAGTTAGTTTTTTTGTTTCGGGTTCAGATTTGACACACAGTGTTCTTTCTTTGGCTGGTGGAAAATAATGGGTCGGATTCAGTTTTGTGAGCAGGGAGCGGCCGCCTCTCTGAGTCTGTCGCCTGTTTGAGGTCGATTTTCCGGGGTTTCCCCCATCTTTCTGGTTCTGTCTCTGTGGGGGCTCTTTTTGATGCTATCTCTGAAGAGTAGAGATGCGGGAAAGGAGTTAGGTATTGGCGGTGGTGGGAGGGAGGTGATGATGGAGGAAGACACGGAGCTTGAGGAAGGAGAGGCTTGCTCTTACCATTCTCCTAACAATGACGATGACAATTACACCATGGACCCCGATGTTGCGCTCTCTTACCTAGTCAGTTTCTTCTTCTCTTCCAATCTACTTTGGTTCCTTAATTATGATTTCCTCGTTAGTTTTGAATTGCCTTGCTACTGGACTTCTGGTTGTGGGAGGAGGATTCCGCTGTGCTCAGTTGACTTTCGTTTTTTAGGAAACATTTGTTAGATGTTCCCTTTTGATGATGCTGGTGAGAATTTGAGTGGCATAGAAGTTTTTTCTCTCTTCTTTTTTATAAATTTCATTTGCTGCTACTTACTCCGAGCAATGCTGTTATGGAATGTATATAATTCTTCACGAATAAATTGGTGCTCTGAATTTGGGCGCTTTCGTGTAAACAGTGTATGACCACGGCGGGGTTTTTAATTGGGTCTAACTAAGCCTTCTGAATTCTGCATTAGTTTATATACTTCTTCATGAACCAAATAGTTAGGGAATAGAGAACTTCTTCCATCAGTTCAATGGGTTGATACCACTTTAAAAGTTAAGATATTGATTATCGGGTTTTCTTATCTTTCTTCCCTTATCTGTCACTCTCTTCTTTGTTTAGTTAATGGAGAGGCTGAGTTTTCCGTCTAAGAATTGGCCCACTGAAGTACTTTTCGTCTTCAATGCCAATGTGGGGAAGTTGTAAATGTTAGAAGTCAGTTCTCCAGACTAAAAATTTCTGTTCGTTGATGGTAGAGTCAGAATCTCGATCCATTTGGTGCATATCATCATTCTTATATCTTACTGCAAAGGTCATACTTGTTTGGTATTCGTCTTCAGTTGTTTTCTTTTTCTTTTCTTCTATCTTCTGCTGTATTTGTTTGCTCTATACTGCTCAACCAGTCACAATTCGTTTGTTTTGCTCAACAGGATGAGAAACTTCAACATGTCTTGGGGCACTTTCAAAAGGATTTTGAAGGTGGTGTCTCAGCAGAAAATTTGGGTAAGTTTAACAAGGCTGCGGTGTGACATCATAAATCTACTCAGCTGGTTGGGTTGGACTCCGATTCTGATATCTTACCATCAGAATTTACATTTACACAGGAGCCAAGTTTGGTGGTTATGGTTCATTTTTATCTAGCCAGCGCTCTCCTTCTTGGTCTCATCCTCGGGCTCCTCCAAATGTCCAGCAAATTAGTAATTTGTCTAAATCCCCAAACACTTTACTGCATGGGGTAAGAGAGTGTTTTTAAATTCAGGCACATTGTTTGTTATTGAATCACTCCTGATGCACTCGAGAACTTGTAACGTTGGACGATATTCATGTTTTAAGAAGTTCCAATGTTTTCTAACAGGCTAGTCATCGAAGTTCTGATTCATCAGATGCACCTCAGGCAGTAAGGCCTGGTACTGCTTCTGCTGGTGCAGTATTACCGCCCTTAACAAAAATGCCATCCTTGACTGTGGCTTCACCCAAACAAGAACGCCACATGCCATCTGCTCATATTTCTGAGGAAGTGATAGGTCGCGAAACCTTAACTAAGAAGTCTGGCAGTTTACCGGACCCGAAGATGCTTAAGTTTCGCATCAAAGTCGGCTCTGATAACTTGTCGACACAAACAAATGATGCTCTCTATAGTGGTCTTGGCCTTACTGTCTCTCCATCTTCATCAATGGAGGATAGTCCCTCTGAAAGTGAAGGGATGTCTCATGAACTTCACCATGCCTCATTAGAATCTCCTGCTCATATTATTCGGGTGGATCTTCTGCTCACAATTTACTTTTTTTCATTTTCTAGGTCTATATTTTGTTGCCTATTGGAACGCTTGCCATTTTTTTTTATAAATATTTCTCTCTTATTGGTGAAGCAGATAATGACTTCTTTCCCAGTGCATGGAGGGCTTTTATTATCACCTCTTCCTGATCTTCTGATTTGCTTGACGGAAAAAGAAAGGATTCCAAGGGATGGTGGATCCATATCTGTTTCAAAGCTTAGTAAAAGAGTTCTTGCTAACGGTAAAATGAAGTTGCTGGAGAGGTGTGAGATTTCTTCAGAATCAAAAAATGACTCTAAAAAGGTTTCTGAAAGTGATATCGAGATTGCATCAAGGAAGGAGATGGTCCTTGACAGTCTAGCATGTGATCGACTAGTATCCCATACCTTAAGGCTGCCACTGCTATCTAGCTCATATTCTACCTCAGGTGAAACTGTAAAAGGCTCGGGGATGGCTTCTAATTCATCAAAGGAAGTATGCAAAGATGGTGTGCAGGACAATGCTGGTATTGGTCCGGAAAAGGTGCCATTCATTCCAATGGCTTCCCTGGAGGATGGCTGCATTGTAAATTCCATGGCCACTACGTCTGAAGATTGGGAAGATAAGAAAGACGAATCTTTTGATAGTGCTTCTGAATGTTCCAAGAAAGTTGGCCCTTGCAAAAGAGGAAAATCTTTCAATTTGGTGAAAATCGATGCCAATATTTCTAAAGTTGGTAAACCTGCAAGAGCCGAGTCAACTGAATCGATAAAGCATAAGGCTGACCAGAAAAATACATCACAGAAATTTGAAGGCGAAACGTTGATTCCCAGTAAAGAGTGTTTGGCTTCAGACGGGAAGAAGAAACCAAAGAAAAGTCAGAGTCATGGCAATATAGTCTCAGAAATATCAAAGGCAGGCTCTATTACTGGCCCTTATTCAGTAGCAAGAATTCGGAAGGATTCTCATGTTGACGATTCAACAGAGGGGGAGTTAGAGGACCGCAAAGTCCAGAAAAATGCTGGAGAATTTGGAGACCGGTATCATGATTTTTTTGGGGACATGGAACTAGAACAAGGGGACAGCCATCCTAGTCGATCAGAAACAAGTCGTGCGGATAGGGCGAGGGGTTCACAAGTTGTTGAAAAAGAAACCAATAGGATTAGTAAATCACTGATCGAGAGATCAAATGCAAAGAAAATTGATAAGATGTTAGCATCAGAGGCATATTGCAAGGCAGGTTCAAGTGCTTCTCTGCACCCTCAAAATGTGCCTGCATTGGATGCTGCTCCTTTATGTACAGATCCTCTCGTGACAGAAGATGATCATTGGGTTTGTTGTGATAAGTGTCAGACGTGGCGACTTCTTCCATTTGGAAAGAATCCTGACGACTTGCCGGATAAGTGGCTATGCGAAATGCTTGACTGGTTGTAAGTTACAATGTCTTGATGAATTTATGCTTTTGTTAGGTCATAGTTGAATGACAGAGCAATTGCAGAGTATAAGTAATGCTAAGACATAGATTTGCTATTCATTCTCTGTCCAATGTATGGTGTTTTACTATTGATGTTGCAGGCCGGACATGAATAGATGTGATTTTACTGAGGAGCAAACTACTGAGGCTCTCATTGCATCATACCGAGCTGCTGCTCCACATGGTCAAAGTGGTCCAGCTGGCACTTCTGGTGGGCATATAACCGAGGGAACCGTGCGCAGTGTTCGAACCCATGATGCGATTGCTGCTAGCCGGAAGAAGAAGCATGCTTTGAGAGAGCCATCCAATATAGCAGATAAAGATGGCCCAATACAGCTACCCAATTCTGCAAAGAAAGCAATGCCAACTTTTGTGCCAAATGTAAGCATAAGCGAGGTGAGTCGGTCTCCTAGGATCAGTGAACCTGAATTGCTGAAGTCTAGCAGATCTAGTGACACAGCCATGGGAAACAAGAAACCTAAGCTGAAAGAGAAGCACAATGTGCTTGACAACTTTTCTGCTCGAGGTATTTGTTTCTTAGATAATTTATCTTTCCCATCCATTCCAAGTCGTAGTAACATTTTTCAAACTCTGCCTTGTTTCAATAAAATCTGGCACAGGTGAATCTCGTCAACCAAAGATGAGAAGCAAAAGGGTACCTGATGAAGATGTAGTTAGAGCATCCAAGAAGGCAAAGGCTGAAGATTTGTCAGAAGATCCAATGTCTGATTATGTGTCTGAAAAGAATGGTCCTAGCATTCCCTCTGGCAAACTGCCGCCCAAAGATTCTGATTGGACTTCTTCTAGGGACTCAAAGAATGAGCAAAAGAATCAGAAAAATGTCTATGCTAAAAAGCTGAAGGATGGAGTTCAGGTTACATTGGATGTTCGCTCCATGGAAAAGAGGAAGCATAAGGATGGTGAAATTGTGAAAAAAAGGAAAGCAAATGGTGACTTTGATGCAAATTTGCGACCACCTTCCCCTGTGGCTACAGAATCCCTTCTCCAGGATGGTGGAATCATGGCAAAGGAAGATCTCAGTGATAGCGACTTCAGGAAGGAAAAGAAGGCACGGTTATCCAGTTCTATGGGAAAGGAGGTCAGTACTGGTGAAGGTGATGGTAGAACAGAGAAGAAGGGCAGTCATGGAAGAAAACTGCTATCAAGGCGAGATTTAGGAAGCACATTGTCACAGCGGAGTTTGGATGCTGCTGAGTGTTCGAAGAAAGATTCCGGGAATGAACATCTGTCAGTGGCTGCTACCTCTAGCTCTTCTAAGGTTTCTGGGTCCCACAAGACGAAAGGCAACACCCTGGATACAAAAGGCTCCCCAGTAGAATCAGTTTCATCGTTACCTATAGGAACACCAAAACCAGATAAACTTGTAGCTGCAGCAAGAAACTCCGTGAGGCATGTTATCAGAGAGGGGAAGAAAGATAAAAATATTGATTTGGGTCGTCATGGGTCTCTTGAGCCTTCTTACGTTGATTTTCCAGAGGACTTTAGTCAAGGTTTGCCATCTGCAAAAGCTAAGCAACAGAGTGTGCCTACTTCTACAAATCAACAGATCATAAGTGCCACTGCAAATTCCTCTGATAAATATACTCAGCATCATAGCAGGTCAGAAAATATGGACAAACACCACAATGATGAGAGGCCAAACGGAAATCATTCTCAATCAAATGGATATCTTGCAAGGAAGTCCTCGAAGGAAACATCATCTTCAAGGTCCAAGGACCAAAGTCTTGATTCTTCAGAGAAGGTAAAACTTAGAGTTTCTGATTCTACTACAGAGCATGTAGTGTCTTTTGGAGTAAAACCGGGGGATAGCCAAAACAAGGCAGATGAGAAAATTGGTGTCAAATCTGAAAAAAAAGAGAGTAGACTCCTAGATAAGAGCTCTGCAGGACTATTGCTTGTAGGGAATGGCAAAACAGATGCTCGCCCAAACTTAGGTGGCCGCAATGATCCAGGTGATAAACGTCCTGCTACTAATACTGATGATGCAAAAGTGAGTTTACCACTGGAAGGCCAGACGAGCTCAGGTAAAGAGAAGGCAATAACAGCAAATCCATGTGGGTTAATTCAAGAAGAGAAATCACTCTCCGTTCCTGGTATGCAAAAAGGAAATGGAGGGAGGGTTTTGTCTGTTAGTGCCTCCGGTGGTGACAATCCATCCAAGCCACAGAAGCAGACCAGGAAAGTTAACCATCCCCCAAATGGGATAAATCACAGCTCAGGGAACCAGATATCAAACGGGCAAAGGATCAGGGATCATGATGCCCCGAGTCCAGTCAAAAGGGATTCCTCCAGTCAGGCTGCCAACAATGCTTTGAAAGAGGCAAAAAATCTAAAGCACCTGGCAGACCGTCTGAAGGTTATTATTTGAATGATTTTTAGAAAGTTTGATATCTTATTCTGTCCAACATGATACTGATAGGTGCCATCTCTATGCAGAACTCTGGGTCAGCTCAGGAAAGTACAAGGCTTTACTTTGAGGCAAGCCTGAAGTTTCTTCATGGAGCTTCACTCTTGGAATCTGGAAGCAATGAAAATGCGAAAGATATGATCCAGTCAATGCAAATCTATACTAGCACTGCCAAACTCTGCGAGTAAGTTGAGACTATAAATCTTTGTTGAATTGGCTTCTATTGGCCAGGGTTTAGTTGACCTTCTGATATTTACATTCCGTGCTACTTTTTGGTTGGTAACAATTACCGTTTTTGCTTTCTTAGCTACTAGAATGAACTGATTAATTATTATCTTGAAGCGTTATTTTCTTGGTATTCCTTCTACGGAGATGGAAATATGCCTTCTACTAGTGTTGGAGGTTGTTCTTCCTTTCTTATTGGCTCTAATAAGTCTGTTTGGTTGGCTCTTTTTTTTAGAAGTATAGTAAATGGAAATAGTATCTTTAGAGTTCTAAAGAGTTGATGAAATATGAGTTGCTTTCAGTTAACAAAATTAATTGATGAGATAGTATATGGATGATTCCTTTGACGAAAAAGGAATGAATAAGTTTTGGGAAATGACTATTATGGGTTTAATTCTTATAGAAGACCTTTCTCTTTCTCTAAAAGTTGCAAAGTTTGGAATTTATTTTTCTACGTCGTTTTTTGCTTTTTCTAATTTTTAGGATTCACCAATTAGCATGAGTTCTTATTCTGGAAGTTAGTTTAACAAGCGTTTGTTGAACTGTTTTCCCACCTAAACGTTAGGAACTAAAAATAAATATAGCAGACCTACCCTCTCTGCTTTCATGTATACCTTCATCTTCTTTGATGCTGTGTTAGGTTTTGTGCCCATGAATACGAGAAGTCTAGAGACATGGCTGCTGCTGCTCTTGCCTACAAATGCATGGAGGTGGCATACCTGAGGGTAATTCATTGTTCGCATTCCAGTGCAAACAGAGATAGACATGAGTTACAAATGGCTTTACAGATGATTCCTACAGGTACAAGCACAAGCTTGGTCTCCTAATAGTATGCTGCAAATAACAGTCTGCAGTTCTATTTTCTACTATACAGTATGGTTGCTAGGATACTTGTTTCCTGTCAGTCAGTTGTTGATTCGTAGAACATACTGTCCTACTTTCTTCTTTTGTCGTATCCATTGTGGTATATGATCTGTTTTCTTCCCTGTTTTTTGGCTGTGCCTGTGATGCTCTTACTCAAAACTTCTCTAGAATCTTCATTGCATAGCATGCGTTTAATTGTTAGTTAACCATAGGATATACTTCTCACGTTCTGTTATGTGAATATGGAAAATTTTCCATAGAAATAATGAATGTAAAGTTTGAAAATTGTAAACAACATTTTTAAACCTGTCACTTTATTGTACAGTCATATACATCTCACTCTGACTTATGCTTTTGAACATTGAACTTTCAGGTGACTCACCTTCCTCTTCTGCCTCTGATATTGATAACTTGAATCACCCAACATCAGTGGATAAAGTAACCTTAGGAAAAGGTATCAGCTCACCTCAAGTTATGGGAGGTCCCATCATTGCTGCCCGAAATCGCACCAATGTTTCCCGGCTGCTCACTTTTGTAAGTACAACTTTTTTGCATGAAAAATTCTTAATTTCGTAGTAATTAATTGATCACAGCTTCTGGTACTGCAAATAAAGAGATGTATTTGGTCTATGGTTCGAGATATCAGCAGCTCTACTGTCTAGGATCTAAAATCATCAAATCTTTTCCTCTCGTCTCTGTTCATTCAAAAACTTGAAATCATGTGATTAATCTGTGCTTACCATTTCAAAAGAGATTGAAAATCAACAGATGCATTTGTGCTGTGTGTTGCAAAGTATACATAGAGTCTACCATTATTGATTCCTGGCTCTCTTCTAGGCACAGAATGTTAACTTTGCAATGGAAGCATCAAGAAAATCACGGGTGGCTTTTGCAGCTGCTAGCATAAGCTTGGGAGACTACCAAAGCGGGGAGGGTATTACTTCCATTAAAACAGCTCTTGATTTCAGCTTCCATGATGTAGAAGGATTACTACGTCTAATACGGCTTGCAGTTGAAGCTATTGGCCGATAATTAAAGGATGCTTGTGTTTGGAGATGATATCAATTGTGTTAGAAGCTTTCTTCAGCTGGTGTTCTTTTGGAATCAAGCTTCCCACAACGCTAGAGAGCCCGGGCTTACTGTGTTGCAGTCTTTGATCAATCTTCCTTGAGATCGCTAATTCCTGTTGGCTCATGTACATAATACACAATTTTGGATTTGAAGTACACATCTTGCCTGGAAACTGGAGAAGGATGGTATTGAACTTCAGCCAAATGTTTTTGAAGACTGTACATTTAGGCTATTTTGAGGTCCAACATGATTTACACCCAGATGTGCCGAACTGAGAAAGTCCATACGAGGTTTTAGATTCTTGATGGACAGAGTTTCCCATGACCTTAGCAATAGTTTTAGCCAAGAGGGGTTTCAGGTCTGATGCTTGCTGTTCTCCTGCCTGGGCAACATTTGATTGTTGGAGGAGTATGGTTTGTAATTCATTGTAATCCAGCTTAGACCTATGACCAATCTGGTGGTTTCATTGGTGAGAGCACCATGTAGTGAGGATCGGTAATCTGAATGGCACCACAGGTATGCTTTGTTTCTTACATCTGCATTCTTTCCTTGGTTTGAATATTTTGATTCTTCCATCTATATCTTGGTTTGACCTTTACTATTGTTCTATCATTGCAGATTATTTGACCCCGAGGATATATTGTTGCAGCAGGAACATTTTTGCCTGTTCTCTTCTTAATAAAGACATGTAGGAATAAGTTGAATGACTTATTTTTTAGAGGGATATAATAAAGCGGCAGAATGAGCTGGAGAGTTGCTGCTTGATAAAAAGGTTTGTCAAATATTGTACTCAAAGCAGAACGTAGTAGGATATATTTGGATGAGTAGCATATGAATTGTGTCTACCATGCCCTATCTGCAGCTATCAGAACAATGTACAATATCTAATGGAGTTACGCGGGATCTGACAGTATTCGTTGTTTCTTCCGTGAGCAGGGATGGAGGATCTATCCTTGTACAGCCCGTCATTGCAAAAGACACAAACAGGTAAAAGTTAGCCTGGTGGTTCTCGGTTCTGATTTGCAGATCTAGGCATATACTCACTGAGTTAGTTTGGTTTGTGCTCCTAAAGATGATTGCTCTCAGCTCCTTTGTTGTTCTGCTTTGCAAAACAGGTTGGCTTACACTCTTGATTGGCTATCGTTTATAGGAATGCTTGCGTGAGGTCTAAGGTACCATACCTGCGATTCCAGTAGGTGGGGAGATATTTTGGTACAGAGGGTAGTTCTTTTGAATTTACGTTTTTCTTTCAGGCCAACTAACCGAGAATCTGGCTCTTGGGCAGGTGTTGGTGTCTTGAGGCTATATTATTTATGAGAACTTTCTTGGCGATGGAGGATCTCTCTGCCCCTTCCTCTGCATTAAGGGTATGTGTGTGGGCGTAGGTTTAGTCCATATGATCAGTTGCTGTAAATAAGCCGGTGCCATAAGTAACTGGAAGTAATTCTGACAACTGTAGATTCTGTGTACAGTAGTTGAATTAGAATCAGGTATAGTACACATTTATCAGTCAACATTTTTGGAAAAAATAAGAACACCAGTAGGTACAAGGAATGTGCTTTCGGCTGGATGTATGGTTGAGCTTAGTAACAATGAATTGCGTCTTGGACGTCAATTAAACTCTTAACTTTATTTTGAAGTCGCACCGATTGCTTGGTTAGCTATTGAACCAACTTGTTATCCTAGGTATGGTCTGGTAGGGCTATTCTCTAAGAATGGGTGCGGGTATAGATAATTGAATTTCTAGCCTCACAAGCAGTAGCTAGTTCAGGATTCCATTTACTAGCTTGTCGAAGAATTGAATTTCCTTCATGAAAAAGATCAGGCCCTTCGTTACGAGCTTGTAACTCTCTACTGGGTCATTATCGCGCGGTATGATGCCAAGCTGAGCCATATCAATTTAATTGGTCGATTAGCTCACAGACTGACAACATTGATAATAACCCTTTATTGAATGCAAACATTTGTGCGTGGAATAAGATAAAGTGACAAGGAAGGCTTAGAGCATCTTCATTGGTGCAATTGCATTTGTTTATTTTATTGTTACTTCATTTTTTTCAATCCAACTCATCTTACTTGTATTGGACCACATCAATTGCAATTAATTTATTAGAACATAAACACTCAAATAATAGAATTAATGAATAATTTAATAATAAAAAAGATGATGTGGCTTGCATTCCATAATTGCATTAGAGCATCTCCATTGGTGCAATTGCATTTGTTTTTTTTATTGTTACTTCATTTTTTTCAATCCAACTCATCTTACTTGCATTGCACCACATCAATGCAATTAACTTGCAATTGCAACTAATTTTTTTATTTAATTTATTAAAAAATAAACACTCAAATAATAAAATTAATGAATAATTTAATAATAAAAAAGATGATGTGACTTGCATTCCATAATTGCATTAGAGCATCTCTATCAATGCAATTGTAAAAGAAATTGCATTTATGTTTTTTATTTTCAACTCAAATTTTTTGCAATCCACATCACATTCATTTCATTCACCTACATCAATGCAATTAACTTGCAATTGCAAATGTAATTAAATATTATGTTTAAATTATAGAAAATTAAGTATAAGAGAAAAGAAAATAATATAAAATAAAAATTCCCTTTTTTGTAGGCTTTTTTGACTTGCATATGGAATTGCATTTGTTGCAAGTTTGCAAATATGCAATTGGTAGCCACATCAATGCAATTAGTTTTGCAATTGCAAACACCTATGCCATATCATTTTGCAATTGAGAATGCAATACCAATGTGGATGCTCTTATATGCAAGCTTGCAAAGATGCAATTGTCATCTACATCAATGCAATTGCAAATGAATGCCATGTCATAATGCAATTCTAATTGCAATTCCAATGTAGATGCTCTTATATGCAAGCTTGCAAAGATGCAATTGTCATCTACATCAATGCAATTGCAAATAAATGCCATGTCATAATGCAATTCTAAATGCAATTCCAATGGAGATGCTCTTAGTTGACTAAATACTTCCCAACCTTATATTTACTTTTTTATCGGGTTATAGGCATAATATGGAACTCTATTATGTCGTTTTATCAAACATGCCTCTACTATTTTTTATATCAAAGATGCCCTTCTATTAAAATTTTCATCCATAAACCGTTAACCACGAACAAACTTTGGTTTGGGCGGCACAAATGTCTAAAATATCCCAAATAATTTCATTTTAGAAATAATCCTAATAATTTCACGTTGACGACACCCAGAGAAATAAAACAGTGGACAAAACTGACATTTTCTCTCCCATTTGCCGATATCGGGTCGTCTAAATCTCGGTTCAACCATGATTGACGATATTTTCAATGAAATTTTAACAGAACGGCATGTTTGATAATTTTTCCAAAATATAGGGGCATGTTTGATGTAAGAAATAGTATAGGGGCATGTTTGATAAAACGACATAATAGAGGGAAATATTATACCTATAACCTTTTTTATCCAATAATCATCAACTTCTTAGAATTAGTGGGGTTTTCATTATCTTTTGCTTATTATTTATAATTTGAATTAGAAATGCAAAACAAAAATCTCATCCCCTTCCCCTTATGTTCGTCTTCTTCCTCCTCTTCACTTCTAGAGAGTGGATTTGGTACTATCACCCTTAAATATTATCACCATACTAACACTTACTATAAGTATAGGTGTCAATCGGGCGGGTTCGGGCTGGGTTCAATCGGGTTTGGGTTCAAACGGGTTGCGGGTTAGTCGGGTTGCGGGTTCATCTGGTTCGGATTCAATCGGGTTGCGGGCAAATCGGGTTGCGGGTTCATCGGGTTTGGGGTCGGGCGGGTTGCAGGCGGGTCGGGTTTCGGGTTGTTTGGGCCAGCGCATCAAGTAACTTAACTCATTACTCATTACCAACTTACACATTTTATTACACTAATTTAAAATATTTTCTCAACTTTTTAACCAATTTATTTCTACCTCGTATATATATACTTTATTTTTTTGAAAAAAACTAGTCAAAATGTTAAATCAATTTGTATGACTTGCAAACTTTTTATGTAATTAATCATAATTGGTAAAGTATTATAGCTAATAGTAATGGTGATATCAATATTTGCACCCAAAAGACACCGTTAATTGTTTATTTGATATTTTAGTATTAATTCAGTAATAATTGGATTAAAGTATCTCATTTAGTATAACCATGCAAATCTGGTATTTGGCGTGTGGTATTTGGCAAAAGCATAGTGATAAAAGGAGTTATTTCAAAATAACTCATTGCCCAAATAACTTTAGTAAACTGTTGCCAAACGAGTTATTTGTAAAATTGTTTGAATTATCCTAAAAATTGAACCATTAAAGATTAGCTATCAAATTTAGTAAAATTATTGTGACTTCAATCATAACTTATTCAATAGCATATATCCTATACACTTAGCTTTACCCTCAATCAACTATATTAAGTTAGTATATGTTGTTGATTGTATACCCTAAACCATCAATACATTATACACTAACCACATAACCTATACCCTAACCATATGTCCTTGAGTTGTGATTTTGCTAGTATAGTTAATTTAAAAGTGAAATTCATACTTTGATTTTCAAAACATAGATAAAAAGTGATATTTGCTAATTGTTATACCCTAACCATATATCCTATACTTTACACCACATACCTTGTACCCTAACCACGTACCATAAACATAAATTAAAAAGGGATCTCCTGTCGTTAAAGACTTCAAGTGAACATATGTTAATAAGAAACTTAGAACCGTCAAAACCATCAATATCTTATACCCTAACCATATACACCCTAAACCATATGTACCTTATACCTTATACCCTAACCATATACTTTATATCCTAAACAACGAACCGTCAAAGATTACTTATCAAGTTTAGTATAAATTGTTGTAACTAATTGTTAATTTATTTATTAGACCAATTCGGGTTGCGGGTCATTTGGGTTGCGG